CTCGACCGAAAAGAATATTTTCTTTGATGGTTCCATCAAAAAGCCACGGTTCTTGAGAGGCATAAGAAATTGTAATGTTTGGATTATCGGTGAAGAATTGTTTTAAGTCAGTCTGTGATTCCATTTTCGTTTTCATGTTTTGAAGAATATTTATGGTTCCAGCACCCAAAGGTAGTTCTTTCAAAAGTACGTATAAAAGGGCCGTTTTTCCTGCACCAACTTGACCAAACAAAATACAAAGCTGGCCTGAATCTACTTTCAAATTAACGTTACACAGAGTCGGTGGTAATTTATTAGACACCCAGTTTGCTGACACCCTAATTAATTGAATGGATGCCGGCTTAATCGGTTCAACATTTATCACTGGTTCTTCATTCTTGAAAATAATCCTACAACTCTCTAAGTCATTTTTATATCTCCTTTTTTTATATTTCGCTGTCGTCAATGACGTTTCAGTGGTTGATATAACTTCGTCCAACATTAAAAATTCCTGACAAAATTATTCATTAATATATGATTATTTAATTAATTAAATAAACGTAATAGTATATATTTAAAATTACTTATTGTTATAAAAAATGAATATAATTAATAATTATTAATTTATATTTATAAGGAAAAAAGGATGAAGCGAACCTGGATTCTATTGAAACTTATTTTAGTCTCGTTCCATAACATTAGACCTTGCAGAGTATGCATGATTAATGTTAATTGTAATATGTTGATGTATGTTGCCAAAAGATATGTATGCTCAGGATTTAAAGTTCCGTTCATAAGAGCGTATGATACCATAAAAATAAATAGTGCGATTCTCTCAGTATAAACTAACATCGAAAGAGACAATGTTCGAATTAACGCGGCGAGTCGAATTTTTTTCATTTCCGCGATACGTGTTGCCATCAGAAATTTACTGAACAGGTTTTCCCAGCAATACATTTTAATCACCTAAAGCAAAACATATTTTTATTCAAATACTCGCATCAATTAGAAGAATATTTATTTTTTCTTTTGATTTTTATCGTTAAAAATTAACTACCTGTATGCCATTTATAAATTCGCTCATAAGTTGTATCCTTTTATCTGTTAATATTGCTATATTTGCTCTCACACGATTACTTATTATAGGGAAATATCCGTGAATTGGTAAAGAGATCAGTAAAAAACAACCAATAGCAATAAATACTGAATTTCCAACCATTATCCACATTATTAGGGTTGTTGCTACGAACTACGAATTGTTGAATAATTTTATAATCCAATAATTACAATTGTTACATAGCATAAATTTATAATTGTAATGACTTGTATTAGGATTTAAATCACTTGGCATACAATTACGTCATTCTTGTCATACCTTATAAAGCTATTAATTTATTATTACTTAATGTTACCTAATTAATGTCCATTTATATTGTCGAATTATATTTTATTTGTATGTTAAAAAGTTAATTGTGTATTACCTGAATTGGTGCAATGTATACGTAATGCAGATAAGGACTTACTACATCAAAACGGCTCATATCATTGCTTAGAATATTAATTATTTGCCCACCATTAGTTGTTAGCGTTAGCGATATTTTATTTAGCCGTAATATCTGTAATAATTACTTTAATGTGTTTATCATATTTAATATTCAGTAATAAGACCTTAATACGTACTTCATCTATCAAAGATAAAATATTAGAGACAAGGTATGATATGATTTATATACTTCTTGAAGTATTCATTTTAGAAACTTTATGGGTTGCACATAAAAAATACAAAAAAAATACCACAAAGTAAATAATTCGTTGCCACTTACTTAACAACCGAAGAACGTTTAAATCCTATATCACGATGCACTAATTGCTATTTTTATCTATTTTAATAGTCAATAGTTGGTTTACCTTCCTGTATACCAGAGAACTGCAAGCGACACGTATTTGCATTCCTATTTCTTGACTTCGTAAATGCACATGATGATCAAGAATAACAGTAATAACAATATCGAGGACTAAACCGAATGCATATCCAATTACTTCTTCCTTCGTTATTTGTTTAGAATTTGAAGAAACATTGAAATAATTAATGATCCATGTTTGAAGAATTGGTTGTAACGGTTTTAATATTATACATTCTATAAATACGAGTATTGATAATAATATATATTTTCTCCCAAATATACGAAATATAGCTTTCTTTATGGACGGCTTTGTACTTTCGCCAAATTTCTTTTTACCGTATTTTTTTAATAAATATTCGTTATTTTCTATTTTTTCCAACTCGCGGCACCATTCTCTGTGCATAATTGTATAAAGAATTAATTTTATTTTTCATTGTCAACGAAGAAAAAAATAATAGGAAAAAAATTTAATGAACATTCGAATATTAAATAAATGATTATACTTTTCGAGCAAATCTCCAAGCCTTTTCGATTCGTTGCGCTTCAAAGGATCGTAAATGTCTTCTAACGTTAATATCCTTTTCGATCCTTTTTTAAATATATCTTTGAGCCACCTAATTTAATATAGTATACAAGTTAAAACAAATAATGAGATAGATTGATAAATTTCACATAATTAGTAGTAATTTTATAATCGAAACAAACCAAAAAGTTAAAGCACTAAATAAATTAGCCGATTCTTCCGGACTTCTGTTAACAGGACACTTTTGTATATTCATGTTTTTTTATCGGTTAACATTAATTCTATACATAATTTCTCTTTCGAATTGATTTGATTTTTTGGATATATTTATTAATTAAATACGCACAACTTATTTAGACTCCTATATGATCGAAAATTTAAAAACGACTGAGAACTTTTATCGCTAGCAAAACCACTGAAATATCATTTCTCATACATAATAACAAAATATAGAGCGATATGTAAAACTAACGTAGCATAGATTATTTGTAATCTAAATTTTGGAAAGAAACGTATACTTATTTTTCAAGAACACGAAATATACTTTTTACTGATAACAGTTACGGCTCACATGATTCACGAGAGAACGAAGTTATTATTTCATTATAATGTAGGAACATGTGAAGATATATTTAAAAGCTTATAAGCTATTTTAATTGCCATTTCCAAATATTTCGGAAATTAAGTACTTTTTTAAAACAATGAAAACAAAAATTCTACTTTTTTATTTGAGTTAAATAAACAGTATTATTTGCAGTATTTTTTTTTAATTACAGAAAATATCATAATCGATAGCGTTCAGGTGTAAAACTATTTAAGAAAAATAATACACAATACGCCTATAAGAATCGAGATATTTTTATGAATTACTTATCGGATGAATTCGTATGAAAAAATGCAAGGCTTTAATATCTTCTTCCTTGCATAATAATATTTGATAAAAAGAACTAAAATACAAGGTTACTTGAATTTGTCAATAAGGGATCAATGCGTCAAATTTACAAAGTCTATTTTTTTTATTTTATTTCTTTTTTTTTTCTTATTACATTTATTTATGAATCGTATAATACGTGCACTATGCGTATATAAGATAACATAATTCTCGTTTAAAAACTATATATGCCTATATATATATTTTTAATCAGTCGATTATACCATTATACATATTCAATAGTTTTATTTGGTAGTACAAAATTTTTTTATTATACTTATTAATATACTTTCTTAATATGTTTTTCTGGCTAGGAATACTTTATAGCACCTTATAACTGTATTTGAGAATAATCTAGGATCTCTGTATTTTTTAAATTATCACATTCGGAGCTAGGATCTATGGGCTTTGGAAATATTTTTTAGATAAAATGTAAAGTAGAAAAATATAAGTACTTTTATAGTATATGCAAGTATTTGTACTTGTCAAGAGATTAAAGTAGTAAAATCTGATAAATATAGATTAGATTTGAAGAGAAGAAAAAAGAAAACTATTTATGCATGTACTATACATGTAAATATTTATATATGTATATACATACATGCAATAAAAAGCTATTCACGAATATAATATGAAATATATATTTTTTTTTTTTGTAATTAAAGGAATCTTTTGGCATAATACTTATTAAAATAGAAATATCTGTATGTGTATACTTATTCTCTACATATATAACTATAGTTTCTTGGTATAGAATTTTTATGAACTAAGGAACAATCAGGCTTTAAAAGTCCGATATTAATAATATGATTTAACTCTAAGATTGTTAAGTAACGTTAGAAAAATATGTAGAAAAAATATCATAAGGTTTGTTCTCCATATTTGTTTATATATGATTGTTTGGCCATTTTAATAAGTTGATCGGACATAGCTCTACCAGTTTCTTTTACTAATGAAGTAAATTGGCTATATTTATTTTGTAATAGTATATGTGGATGATCATATTCCTAAAAATTATAAAAATTTATTTAATAAGTATAAGAAATTAGAAAAAATAATAAATAAATTTAAAATAGTTTAAAGATAGTATAAAAATAATTGTTAATAGTAAAACGTACCGCCATACGACCCTTGTCCATAACCAATACTTTATCACTATCCATTATAGTATTTAATCGATGTGCAACAGTCAATACTGTACAATAAGCAAACTTCTTTCTTATTGTATGTTGTATTAAAGCATCTGTTTGTGGATCTACATTGGCTGTTGCCTCATCGAGCATTAATATACGATTGTTTCGTAAAATTGCTCTTGACAAACATATCAGTTGTCTTTGACCAACACTGAAATTACTACCTCTATCAAGTACTCGTAATTCTAAACCATTTCCATTTCCTATTATTGCTTCTTTTAATTCGACCTATAAACAAAAAAAATTAGTTAATATTCATATCAGGATATTTCTAGCAGGTGTAGTACTACTGAACAGGAAATGATTTTTGACTTTTTCTTTTCGCTAGAAATTATTCCCTGCTCAGTTAAAAATATAAAAATATTAACTTCTTCCAAAGCTTCCCAAACTATATTATCCGAGAATTCATCAAATGGATCTAGATTACGTCTTAATGTTCCTGAGAATAAAACTGGATCTTGAGGAATGATTGATATATTACATCGTAAATCTTCTAAAAATATAGATCCTGTATCAATATTATCAATTTCAATAACTCCTTCAACCTTTGCTAATCTGAATAATGCTGATATTAATGACGATTTTCCTGCACCTGTTCTTCCCACAATACCAACCTGTAAGAATGATTATTAAATTATAATACAAATAAAATACAATTGCATAATAAATTGTATACCTTCTCACGTGGAAGAACCAAAAAATTTAAATTTTTTAAAATCGGTGGATCTTCATCTGTATACTTCATGTATACATTTCTAAATCTAATACAACCTTGGCTAGGCCAATTCTTAGGTGCACTTTGCGGTAATTCGTTGGTAATTTGTTTGTCAATTTTCTTATAAAATTTTCCTTTATTACGTAAATTAGTTTCTGGTGGAAGTTGCGTGTATTCAAGGACACGTTCAACGGACATCATTTGATTAGCTACTTCGGCACTTTGTCGCATTCCCCATTGTATCATACCAGTCATAGCCATAACTTGCGTAATTGCCAAGCCTACTTCTCCGCCAGAAAAATCTAAATACGAAAATTTTATTATAATTATTATTACGAATTTTCTGTTCATATTATAGCAAAACAAATATGGATATATATATTTTTACTTTTAATTAATAAATAAATGAAAAGGAAAAAAACGAAGAAGAAGATCGAATAAGCGGAAGAAAATAATTCGTACTTGTATTCAGTAAAAGAAAGCTGAAAGTGACAAGTGATGTAAATATGAAACAAAATATATCCAAAGAAAATCCAAATGCTGTACTAGTTACAATATACATGTACACTGTAGACGTGTGCGTATCTTGAAATTTATCGAACTCCTTTTTTAATATTTCTTGTGCGCCGTATGCTCTTATCGTTGAAAGACCATTTAACGTGGCATTTAAATGTGTGAACACTGGCGATCGTGCTGTATAATCAAAAATATAAATTATTACACTCATTACTAGAATATTATTTTTTTTTAAAATAAAACGAAAAAATAATTATAAAATAAAACTTACTTATGCCCTCTAAACGTTTAATATTCTTACTAGTTTTAAGATAAACTTTACGAATCCAATAAAATATCGTTCCCAAAAATATTACAGGTATTAAAAACAAAGGATTCACTATGCATGATACTGCCAATGATCCAAACATTAGCATACATATTTGACCAGCATCTAACAAAGCTTTAGGCAATAACTCATCAATAGCTCCAATATCTTTGGAAAATCTATTAAGAATTCTTCCGCTAGGATTAGTATCAAAAAATCTCATGTTAGTTCTAATCAATGCGCTAAAAGTCATGTCGTATAAACGTTGACTGCATAGCATACACATTTTATAAAAAATTAAAGATCTCGTTATCCCAATAACGAATATTCCAAGAACGATTCCAGTATAAATATAAATATAAGTATCGTTTATTCGTCTTGGTTCTGCATTTTCCTCAGTGAAATTAAGTTTTTCATTTCGATAATGTAATGTCTCTTCGGCAGTAACCCTGAAGTCAAATATTTATAATATAAATATTAATATTATAAATAAACATTTAAGATTGTACAATATAGAGACCAATAACTTACAAGATTGGGATAAAATAATCATTAAGACTTGCGACGCATTGTGTGAGAATAATTAAAAACAAGACTGTCAAGGCAAGAAAGAGATTGGCACCATCTTGAAAATAACGAATAAAAATGGATCCTTTAATTACGCCTCGTGATGTCCCTTCTAAACCATTATTAAGTGTTTCAACATTCTCGTTTTCTTCTTCGTCGTCTGTACAAGCGCTACTAGCTTCTGGCGTATGGCTCTGTTGAATTAAAAATCAATTTAATTAATATACATGTATTGGTATTTGCGATAGTTAACTAATTGAAAATCACAAAATAGAAAAAATTCATTGTACAATTTATTTATTAATTATACATATATATAATAGTTGAAAACTTTACCCTATTACTCAACGAGGAAAATTGTCTTCTTATCGAATTCGTATCTAAAGAAGTATCTTCGCCCATCTCGTTATCCGTTGCCAATAAACTACTATATTCAGGATAATCGATCAGAAGATCGTGATATTTTTGATACATTTTGAATTTTCCCCGTTCCATAAGTATTATAGCATCGACTTCTTTTATGTATTGCAATTGATGTGTTGCCAATATTCGAGTTTTATTTGCCAAGTATCGTTGAAGGCATTCTTCAAAAAGATGTTTACTTATATGGGCGTCGACCTAATATTTCAATTTAATTAAAAATCTAATATTTTACATACTTTAACTTGTTTTTATATACTACAGTTATAAATATTATATAACGCATAACACGTAAATCTTTCTATTTTATTATAGACAATGTAATTTATATTTTACCGCGCTCAAAGGATCATCTAAAAGGTAAATATCCGCTTGCTTGTACATTGCTCTTGCCAAGTTAATTCTAGCTTTTTGACCGCCAGATAAAGAGCTTCCTCTATCACCAACGATCGTTAAATCACCCTGTGGGAATTGTTTGAAATCTCTAAGAAGGGCACAAGCTTTGATTATACGCTGATAACGTTGACGATCGTATGGTTGTCCAAATAGAATATTTTGTCTAACGGTAGAACCAAATACCCATGCCTCTTGACAAGCATAACTCACATTACCGTAACATTTCACAACGCCATTTATGATATTCATCTCACCGAGTATTGTCGAAAGTAGTGAACTTTTACCTGATCCTACCATCCCAATAACTGCATATAATTTCCCTTTCTCTAATGATAATTGTATACCTTCTAATATTGTATCTGTATGATTAGAATCCCAATTTGCCACTACGTTAGTCATCGTAATTGCATATAAATCATCGGCTGTGGAAACACGTTTATCTAAAACAAAAATGAAATGTTTAAATAATTGAATAGCTATTTACATGCCTCTAAATTTTGCTTCTATTAGACGTGAATATTTTTAGTTGAAACTGTATATACTATTTTTTGTGCGATTTTCCACTATTCCGTCAGAGATTAAAGAAGCAACAAAATATGCTATACTATATTTATTACGAAAAAATGTAGTAAGTGGCACGAAAGTTATAACGGAAACAATTTTTTTAGCATTTTTTGTAAACAAAAATGAAAGAAATTAAAGTTTTTTACTTTATAGTCAGAGTATTCAATGATAAAATTACTTTCACAGTAATTCTAGTTCCTTTTATTTATAGAAATGTACTTTCTCGTACATACAAAAAAAGGAATAAATACTTACTTATCGTACGCTGTTCATAACAACCATAAATTTACAAATTTTTAAAGTCAAAAGAAATACTTTTTGCATAGATCGCATAAAAAAAACTTTTAAGTGATTTATATTTAACTCGTTACATTGCATAAACACATTGGTGGAACAAGAATTGTCCAATTCCAAAAGCACCAATGTATATAATATAACAGTTTAAATATATATTATATAATCATTTACAAATGTCACGTATTTTTTTACGAAGAACTTCTACATTTTCAAATTTATTCAAAAGAAAGAGAAAGAAAAAAGATAGCAGAATAGTAGGAAGCTGCATTTCTTTTCTTTTTTAAAATAAAACATTTACCGTTAACAAGATGCGCCGTGTTTTTCAACAAATCGGTGGCGACGATGACTAATCCATTTTGCAAATTTGTTCCGTTATCATCAATATAATTTTCATCATTGACATCATCATCCATATAAGGCAAATCTTGTCTAGATGCTCTGATCGAAGTTTGTCTCGATATAGAGGTAATACTACCATTAGGACTTCTCGATAATTTATTACTAATAGTAATATTATTACTACGAAATTCGTCGAACATCAAGAAGTTTTGAAGTCTTCTTACTACCACAAGACATTCCGCAATTTCGGCAAAACCACGTACAAACATTCCCGACATTGTTTGAGCAAGAATATTGAAGTACGATGAAAAAACGAATACTTTTTCGGCAGTCAATTCATTATGAAGCAAAATCATTGATACGAGAGTACAGTAAAGTGCCATTCTCGTGGTAAATAAATTAAAAGTCATATAGATTCCACGAATAGAAGAGCTCTTACTGACTACTTGCAACTCCAATTTTCTAGCCAATTCGACTAACGCACAGAAGGGTTTCTCCCAAGCGTACATTTTTATTACTTGCACGCCAGAAATAATCTCGTCCATCAGACGTACTCGTTCATCGGTTTTTATAGCTGTCTGTAGTCTGAATTTAGAAGACAATTTGCCGGTATAGGCTGAAACAAACATAGACAATCATTTTCAAAAAGATTATCTCGACGTAACGATAGTCCCAAGAAAAGGAACTTTTATTTTGGGACTTTGTTACGTCTTTGTATCTTCTTCTTTTTTTTTTAACCATTATATTATTAATAACGCGTTGTATGCATTTAACGAAGAGTAAGTGTGTGCAAATGCAAATGATATTTATAACTACATGCATCTTACGAAATAACTATTGTTAATCCAAAATGAGTTTACGTAAGTAAGATAGAATGTTATAAACGAAACAATAATTATTAACTTTTCTCTTCTCTTCTCGAATAAATCAAAATTAATGAAATATTATAAATTGATTTGATTAAAATAAGATGAAAAATTAGTTAATAGAAATAATATGATCGTAAAGTTTACAGATCGTTTATTGGCACCCCTATTAAAGTAAGATAAAGAAAGATAAAGAAAGATAATTGCAACTCGATATTGATTTCCGGTACTAGTATGCATACATATAGTCAAAACAGTAATCTTATCGATCGTATATACTTACACTGAATTGGTACGACTACAAAAACTGCAGCGATGCCAAAGAGACCAGAATATCCAGCTTCAGTATAAAGAAAATAGGCAATGATTAAAGCAGTAAGTGGTGCGGACCACATATGGTGTATAAAAATGGAAACAAGATCGAATCTATTAACATCATTAGCCACTAAATTGACTACTTTTCCTGGAGCAGTATCTCCCAATGCTGTTTGACTTAATCTTAATGCCTGTTAAATGCACAAACATATATCTATTTAAATTTAATCATTTTGATCAGTAGGATAAATACGAGGAAGTGTATAGGAATATATACCTATTATATATATAAATTATATATGTTAATTTAACAAATATAAGCGTGTAATAATTTACATACTTTTCTGTAGACTACGGAACAAGCTGCAATTCTTACTTTGGCACCAATGTGAAATGCTTTAAATATGGTTTGATTAATTGTAATTACGCTAATCGCTGTTGCTATACAAATACCGGATGCATATAAAAGTGCAGTTTGGTATGTTTCTCCACTACCTTTTCTAAAATATCTTAGAAGACCACCCAATAGTAATGGTGTTCCTAATCTAACAAGGATAAACAAAAAGGTTTAGATATTAACCATTATCAATGTTTTGCATATCATATTGCGTTTGATTATAATTTTAATTACTGATAATACCTTATCACAAATTCATTAAGTATCTGTAATAATCCTAAAAGGAAATATTCCATTAAAAAAGTACGAAATATCGCTCTCAAAAAGTACGGACTACGTTTTCGTTTCTTCGCATTTTCCAATTCGATCTTCCATCGTCTAAAATAAATACAAAAATAATCTAATCTTGTATCTAATACCTAATCTAGGTTTATTAATATATACTTACTTTTCTAATCTATCTCCAAGGGCTGTAGAACTATCTTCTTTCAAGGGATCATATAAATCATCTGTTTCTAATACTTTTTTGTACCCAATTTTAAATAAATTCAACGACCACCTAATTAGTTAAAAGAACTTTTAAATAACTTGATTTCTATTAAATATTATCTTTTACATATATTACATTAACGCGACAAAATTGTACATAAATAAATATATGGAAGTAGAGTGCATCTATTTATAGATATATTACAATCGAAAATCGAGCTTAGAAAATTTCAAAAGAAGAAAATTTCTACTGCTCTGAATCAGCTAGAAAAAAATATGCAACAATTTTTTTCCTTTTCTTGTGATTTTTGGAAAGTTAAAAATCAATGCTGATGAGCCGTGATAAAAACTTACTACCGTGTTTTAAATATTATGCATTGTAAATGATTTTCTAAACCACAATTTCAAGAACAATCGTCAAATTGCATAATATTTCGTAATAGATTACGTCGTATATTTGTTTTTTTACGTGATGTTCCTTTTTTTTTTATCTTTCCAGACAATATTTGTTCATGTTCAAAAATACTTGTATACAAAGAATGAAATTTACAACTATAGTACTTTAAATCTCAATTATCTTCCAAACGAAGTGTGGTAATAATTTATTACTAGATTTATTACAAATGATCACTACTGTATAAATATACACCCCCTCCCTTCTCTCAAAATTGTAATTATCTATATTAAGCAATCTATATCAACCATCATAACTTGACAAGGCTACGATTAACGAAAAAAATTATTTTTACATGCACTTTTTAGCTGAATCAGTATTGTCCAGATTTTTTTTATTAAACTCTCTTGTGATTTTAACGATATTCATTCGAACATCTATCAGTATAAACCCAGGATGTATACGTTAATTTCTTAAACGCATATTATTTTTTTTTATTTAATAATACTTCATGATACAATGAATGTTTCGTAAGAAGAATGATATTAGAAATTAAATATTAAATAAGAAAACTACAATTTATAGCACGTGTTTGCAATAACAATACAGTATATGATCAGTTTATTGATCCATCATGCATATATGTATCATAAATGAAAAGTAATAAATATTAATATTTAATAGTAATCACATTTTTAATACTATTAGATTCGCCAATAAATCCATATGGCTTTTTACCGTTTATTTACTTATTATCAGAAAATTGCATCGTCGAAAACTTCGTTTTTTTATCAATTTAAATATTATAAACAATTACTTACCACCAAAATAGTACGGAAATGAAATTTGCCTTCTCCCTTGGATTAGGCTTAATCTTTGATTTACTCGAATCCATGGTTTTCCTTTTCTTTTGTGTAGATTAATAAAATTTTCTTTTTTCTTATAGAAGAAATATGATAATATATTTAAATTACTATGTAAACGTTAAAAAACAACCCTATTAAAATATATCACTAATCGATCAAGCACAGTTATCTTCTTAATCACGTTAACTTAAAGTGACACTTATCTTGAAATCCACTTAAATATCTTTTTAATGATCGAGTACTTAACGATTGAGAGCAAAATTATCACTGAATGCAAGTTTAAACAATACGACTCGATATACATCACAGCACACAAAATCTTCTTGTTTAATCTTCCAATTATGATCAATCCAAAATGAAATCTTCGGCTTTTACACAAGGATTCAGGAAGATATTAACGATCTGTTATGTAGTAGTAGTAGTGATAGTTATAGAATCCTCGACATGATTTAATAATTATCATCCTCTTGCAGTGTAGAATATTCGCAACAAATTTCTTTTATCTCGAGAGAGGCATTCGTCGCAGAACTAAAATCCGAAATAATTTGGTATCTCAGAAGGTTGAGTGTATTTAAAAGAACATTTCGTATCACACAATTATAAACCATATCTATCTTATCTAAAATCAAACTGCGTCATTGTTCAAATAATTGATTTGCAAGAATGAATATCTTAAGCATTAAAAGTCATTAAAATATCCTTTCTATCTCAACGATCACAAGAAACGAGAGCTTCTATTGCGAGGAACAAAACAAAATTCAATTTAATTTCTAGAGTTCAGAATTTAATTTACAATTTTTAATAAATATATTCTATCTTATTTTAAAAAGTAAATGATATTCAGTTTTCTAATCTATTTTATTTGCACATTTAAAAAAATCCGAACAGATGTGTAAATACACGTCATATATATTTATGAGATAACAAAAGTTCTTTTATTTTTTGCATTAAAATACGAAGAAACGTTTTATTCGGCCCAATATATATATATAAGTTAAAGAAAGCTATAATTATTATTGAATTTTTATTTTCGTCATACTATCGTTTCAACAGGTGGCTGTGAATGATCGTAAAAGTTAGGAGCTACGATGAAATAGTAAGAGAAAGGAAAGAAACGTGGAGATACCTGCATAACTTATAAAATTCTTCGAAGTCGAGGTCAACCGATTTTGTAGTAGAGATTATATATTTTTTAATGAGAATCGATTATGAAATGTAAATAAAAAATTTCGACAGAAATAAGAAGTTTCTTGTGTATGTAAGAAAAACAAAAACAAAAATTACGCAATGTTTCATATAATATACGAATGCTATATCTATTGCAGTTAAAATGCAGCAATTTATTTCTTTTTTTTATTTCAAAGTTTTAAAGTTTCTTATCATCAATGACATTCTATATTTTTCCTTCGTAATTTTTATTTTAACTTCATCTATGGTAACGAATAGAACTTTAATACATTATCTTTAATACATTACTTTTAATTACATGTATCTATACCAGAAAATAATTTTAGTTGACCATATGTTCATTGCTTCACATAGGTGCATTAATATAGAATAATATATATATATACACTTATATCATCGTTAGTCAGCATCTTTGTTTTTTACCTAACATTATTTTCAAGAGTATATTAGTAACTTTTATATAATGAAATTTTATATAAGATGTAAAGTTACAAGAACGAAACGAAAAACAGCAATAAATTTATTTCTTGCTTAATTAATTATTTTATTTATTTATTTAATAATAAACTGTTTGATTACGGCATATTAAATTGCGTCACTACCTTGATAAGATTTCTGACGTGTAACACAAGTTACATTTTTGTCAATATTTTATGTATCGACATGTAATAAAATTCATTGCCACTTGTGACATTAATAACTGGATTTATATTTCTAATTATACTTGTTGTAAATGAAATTAATTTGTTGTTGATCGATTGATTTGTATCTTTCAATGTTATTTATAAATCAAATCAAAAAGAAAGTGTTAATATCACGATAAGATTCGGTTTTCTTATCAAAATACTAGTTTACAGGAATGAGTGCTTTGAAATACTTCAAGACAAATTGTTCAGGAAGATAAGCGCATAATTCGGAAAGGAAAGAGAAAAAAAATACATTGAAGAATAAAAATAAGCGATAAGATGTTCGAAAAAGGAAGGAGTGATTTACTATTGGTCGTGAGCCTATTATTTGCCTGAACAGTTAGTTTGAACTCTAAATAAATACAGATGTCCTCGAGAACCCTGCCAGTTATGTATGAACATTTTGGTTCAATCTTTTTTCGGGTTAATTTTCTGGAACTCCTTAGACTAATCTTTTGTTTGTAGATTTTAAAAAATGAAAAATATCTGTATAGAATTCCTAAGTTAATTCGTATAATATTTATTTTTAATTCGATAAATATTATTTGTTAGTATAATTAATTTGAATGCGAATAGAAATTGAATAACTAAGGGTAAAGATAAAAAGAGAAGACAGTTCAGTCGATCAATTCTTTTATATAGGACGACCCTTCGAAAGTAACCCTCCCTGTTTCTTTTTTCATTCTCGAACACGTTAAGGGATCTAATAGAATACTCAATGAGCTTAACTTAAACATTAAACTAAGATTCTTTGTATGAACTTACAGTAATATATATCATCGAAATAATTCAGATTCATCGCGTATATTATTGAAGAAAATGGTTGTATATATTAATTACTAAAAATAATTGCAATTGTTATATATGTTGCTAAAAATTGATCTAACAACATCCAAATATTTGTGATAATTGCTGTGTATGTAATATATAATTCATTGGTTCGTATTTAAATAAACACGTTCATAACAGAACGTTCGAAGTTAGAACTCGAATTCGAACAATATCGCCTATCGTATTATTTTTTGACGAAGCGAACAAACAGAGTCGTTAAAAGGAAAATAATTTGTTACAGCTGATTATATTTATATACGTTGATATGCGTGCACGTTGTAAATATATATCTGTTGTAGACTTCGTGTAGTATATAAGTAAGTATAAACGAGAAAAGATACGTAGGCTTAAACGATAGAGAATTAAATAGCGTAATACGTGTAACGCTTGAGAGACATGGAGAATTCCCATCTTTCTTCTTTGAAAGTGGGGTCAATTGTTGATAGCACGTGACGTGTCTACATTTAATTTGGAATGACAATGCGTAGTATTAGCGAATTACTTTGATCCTAGAAAATATCGATCATTAAAATATAACTGATCATATGCTGACTAACGATCTATAAATGATTCTTGATCATTAATCTGTTACCGATTATACAAAATATTAAGAAATAATATTCAAACCTAATTAACGCATTACCAAAACACTGTTTCCACATTTTTATTAAATATTAATAAAATAAAAATAAAGAAAAGAGATAAAAACAGATAACAAAACAATTCTCGTGCGTGATTTTAAAAAATATATCATCGCACATCGATCTAAAGGAAAAATTTGGAATTTACATAGGTCAAACTTTCGATCAAATAAAATATTAAAAGTTCTTTTCGTTAAACATACTCAAGGTTCTTCCGCGCATGTTTCTTTGTTCGAAGGTCGAACACACTCGGAACGATTTATCCGCATGCGTGAATAGAATTCACAGTTTGTGACGTATACACATGATTACTTTTCAAGCGTCATTATGATCTCGTAAAATATAACACTGCAATCGACTTTTATCGAATCTTACGAGATGCGAATGAATTAACGAAAAACGAAAGAGAACAAAATCTTTAAAACAAAATTGTTTAAACGAGTTATATAATAAAAAACAAAAATTGCATTATTCCTATAATAAGGTTTCATATTATAATCGTATTTCTCGGAAGATCTCGTAGCAGATATTTTCAGAATCACCAGAATAAATGCGTTGTTGTTTCTATCTCTTTCTTCCTTTTTCTCTTTCTCTTTCTTTTTCACCTCCCCCCTACTCTTACCTATTTCTATATCTCTTCCTTCTCATTTATCTCTCTATGTGTATGTTCCCTTTAATTTCATAATAAAAACAGATGTACATTATCTTATAATTATAGTAAATATTATGATAATATAAATGATCGCTCTTAATTAAACGAATTATATCTCGGATTCTTATATTTTTCTTTTTATCATTTTTCTTTTCTTCGCTGTATTTATATGAGAAGTTTTTTAATATCATTTTTAAATATTATAAATTATACTCACGTATAGAAAAGGATGCGATAAACTATTGTAATTGATTAATTATAATTAATACCGATTATAAATTATTCCTTTTTTATCACAAATTCTTGATTCATATATCAAGATTTCGCGCGTTACTATTCTTTACGGTAAAGTGGCGCCTTAGAAAAAAATAATTAAAGATATCACAAATATAGTAAAAATATTAATCGAGTCTTTCAAACGAATAAAAAAACACTTTAATTAATAAGAAACATTACGCACTGCTATAAAAATTTCTATTCTTTGCCGCCTCTCTTTTGCTCCACCAAACTACATCATACAATTAGCACCGTAGAACACGTTCTCGAGACTAACCTAATCCTTACTGAGAGTCCACTGCACAAACTTATGTGTACATATATATATACAGGTTTATATATGTTAATATATACAAGTATTCTACGTATGTGTACAAGCATATTTCTTTTACATCACCACCGAAGGGTTGAATACGACGTCAGCACCGTCTAGTTGCACAGTGTTAAATTAAATCTTACAGCGCAAATATTCAAATGATATTACAGTAGAAAAACGATAGTAACAAATGAATATCAATTTATTTATATTGATATCTCTATTAGATTGTCCCGAAAATTGTTACTTTATCTAACTATTTTTATGCAAATATATAATCTAATCTCTAAACTTTATTAAATCTATTTCAGTACAATATCATAAAATGGCTACATCAATAGTGCCGAAATATGGGTTCTGCACCAGTTTGGTTTGCTTCTATGGTGAAAGGAAAAAATTCTTTGTTGAAAAAATTGTGTGTGTGTGTGTTTATCTTCAATTCTTTACGAGAATTTGAGGTCTAATGATAAAAAGTAGCCCTTAACGTAAAACTTAGTAAGAAAAAGCAAAAGAAACTTTCTTCTTCCGGACGATTAAATATAAGAAAACAGTTTATTGTCTATTTTAAATTCAAAATTGATATACAATCAGTTTATATATTTAAAAATAATGTTAACAGTATTATTGTAGTTACTTAATTGATTTTTCTTACAACGTTATATTTATAATCTTATTGTCTATCCTCTTAGATAATTATTTACATTTGTTAAATCAATTTATAATTAGCATAGATCCCTGCCTATGATATAATAGAAAACTATTTCTATTTATCTTTTCTATATATATATAGAAAAAATGTAAATATATATATATTTAAAATACTTTAGTTATTTTTATTTTGTTTTTAGATATGTGAGGCATTTATTAATTCCTGCGCTTTTGTTTTTTTTTCTTTTATTATAGAATTAAAATTTTATAATTATTATTTAAGAACATATGAGAGATTTTCATAGCTAAAAAGAATTTGTACTAATAACTATTGTTTGACATGATTTCGTTGTCATCATCATCATTCCTATCGTATTACTTGATTTTATTTAACAAACACATAAAGATAGTCAGTCATGCTAAATATTTTCTGTCTTTCTTTTATTTTCTTTTTCTTTTCTTTTTGCTTTTTGAACTGTTATAATCGATCGTACATTACATTGCACTACTCCATTGAGCTATGAGAACATTTTTCTAATCTGCATTATAATATGCATAACATGGAATATGTAAAAGAAATATATATATATATATAGAGAGAGAGAGAGAGAGAGAGAGAGAGAGAGAGAGAGAGAGAGAGAGAGANAGAGAGAGAGAGAGAGAGAGAGAGAGAGAGAGAGAGAGAGAGAGAGAAAGAAAGAGAGAGAGAGAGAGAGAGAGAGAGAGACAGAGAGAGAGATAGAGAAAGTAAACATTAAATTTAACATGGTTTTACTTATAAAAATCAGAAAGCAATTTTAGCATCTATTACAATTAAGAAAAAAATTCGAAAAATATAAAAAATGAATAGAAAAATACTGATAAAATATTAATTTAAAAAAAAAAAAGAAAAAGAAACAGAAAAATAATACCGCACGTAATAAAATATAGTTATAATAGATGACACCTGTGGCATATACTTTAAAGATTAAAATATATAAATAAATTATTGTTAAGTCATTACAAATTTAATAAATACTACCAATAGCTATAAGCCACTCGATATTGTTTTAACTGTTTTAACTGTTTTAAGTATTAAAAAAAAAAATTCTTATCAAATTTTTATTATACGCCTATAAAAAAAAAAAAGAAAGACAGTAGAAAAAATAAAAAATAAAGACAATATAATATAAATTCGTAGTCTACTGTTTTTAAACCTAAGGTACAGATACACACTTAGTTGTGTGTGTGTTTTCAGGTTGAAATTAACGTATTTATCCGTTCTATATTCTTATATAATTTTATTCTAATGTAATATGTTATCGCTGAGAATTTGATAACATTAATGCAAGTTTTTCATATGCATATCCTAAATTTTTATAAAGACCTTTCGAACAACCATTTTCTTGGATAGTTTGAAATCTGTAAGTCTTAAAATTTTTATCTTGATCTATGTAAGTAACAGCAGCCATTAGAGGGCACATAATTATTTTTGTATGATCCAAGAAATTTATCTAAAAAAATAATGTTTAACGAAATAAATAAAACGAAATGAAATAAAAATTAATAATAATAATAACAATAATAATAATAATAATACTCAAAAAGTAATAATTAATATACAGAGAATTAATAAAATAGAGATTTCAAACTAATTAACTTGAAACAACAATTAAAATGAAATAATATCAAATAAAGCGATTAACTTACCTGTACCGTTCCGTTTGTTAATTGCATAACTACAGCAGTCTGTGTCCTAAACCATTGATGCATATAAGGTATTCTTGAAAGTGAGTCGCTTTGTTTAACAGCAATAGATCCACCTGCTTTCATTAAATGCTCGTTCATGTATTTTAAGAAAAAATTCATTAATTTCATTTTCTTGTCTAAAGAACTTGGAAAATCTTTAACAGTATAGTACAATTCATTTCCATCACGGTTTATATAATGGATATTGAAACCATTGGCCAGCATTATCAGTCTTGTGCCATCGTTAAACATTACACCTACTCCATCATCGGATAGTTGATATCCAAATCCATATTTATCTGAATAATCCACCCATTTACTAATCCATATTACTGGCTGGGCAGCTGGATCTGTCATTTCATCTATACAAATATATATTTCAAATAAGATTAAATTATATATATTGCGTAATATTGTAATAACATATAATAAAATATCTTAATAAATTATTATATAGATTAATTCAAGTTATATTATATGGAAATAGAATTTTGAAATTATTAATTATAAATTAACCCGTAGCATTACAATAAATTCAGCAGAAATTGAAGGGATGATTCAATTAATATAAGTTTCAACAGATGAAGGTAATTAATCTTATAATGTGAAAAGGAAAGGATATGCGTGCCTGAAGGTTCCATGGAGAGCTGGTATGGTCTTAGATATTCTGCATTAAGCAAAATTATTTGATTATTTTGCAAGTAAAATTCTGTTGTAAGATTTATATTTAAGTATATACCTGCAGAAGATGCTGTTTCGCTTGATGGCCTAGTTGCTAATACAACAGTTAATTGGTCTTTTAATGCATGTAACATTTTCTTTGTATCTAAATTTGATTTGTGCACATTATTAACATCTTCTGAAGGTTTTTTACGTGAAGGACTGTTCAGCATGCGAAACACATTATCATCTCCATCTCCACCAGCATTAAGATTCATTTCGGATAAAGGTTTACGTTGGTTATGCATTTCCAACATATCCAAACGTGGTGCCATTGTTAAACACGAAAGTGGCAAACTTGTTGGCAAATAACCTTTAAAATAGTATTAATGTATTAACACATGTACTATTTGTTTTTATAATATTAAATAGTTTAATGATTTAATTACCAGATGAAAAAAAGATATCTTTCATTAATTTAGATACAGGATGACGCTTTGAAGGTATTCCTTGTAGCATATTTGTAATCATGTTCATAGCAGGCTTACTGAGATGCGAAGGTGTCTTATACTGAACTTGTTTAATTCGATTATATGTTTCTCTCAAACTCGATGTTTCAAATGGAGGTTTACCAACGAGTAAAGTATACATTATACAACCTATACTCCACACATCAACTTCATAAGAATGTCCTGCTTTAGTTAAAATTTCTGGAGCAATATAATTTGGCGTTCCACACAGTGTTCTAAATAAAATTTACATGTTATTTTCATTTAAGTAGAATCATATTATGACACATTATCAATAATAATTTTCAATAATTACTTTTTACGCTCTCCATCATGTTCCAATCGTGTTGCCAATCCAAAGTCACCTATTTTAACTTGTAGTTCATCATTTAAGAATAAATTACCTAACTTCAGATCTCTATGTATTATTCTATTTTGATGTAAATAGTGTACGCCGTCTAAAATTTGTTTCATATAATACCTAGTTTCACATTCTGAAAGTGCTTTTCTACGTTTATGCAACTCCATCATTGACTAAAAAATAATAAAATAATTTTTAAAGATATACAATTAATTTATATAAAATGACATTAAAAATATAATATAATTCTTTTAACTTACTCTTTTACGACAAAGCTCAAGAATAATATAAATGTTTTGCGCATCATCAAAAAATCCATAAAATCCAACAATGTTTCTGTGATTTAAACTTTGATGTATTGTAATTTCTTGTGTCATTTTTTCTCTTTGATTACTCTTTGTCATTATCGATTTGGATACAATCTTTCCGGCAAAAACATGATGAGATTTTGATTCTCTGATTTCATAGCATCTAGCAAAACCACCCTTCAAACATCAAAAAAAAATAAATATATATGTTGTAAATCAATAATATCTTTCTATTCCTTATAAATATATATTTGATTGATCTCTCCTAATACCAATAAAAATGAATTTTTTATCACCGTGTTTTATAAATACACTTTATAATTTCAACACAAAATTTATCGACTACTATTTTAATTAATATTAATTTCAAAACATTAAAAAATACGAATTCAAGCCAATTGAATAAAAATTTGAATTCATACACATAAAAGAACATGAAACTTTCCTAAACATATATCTATATGCTTATCAACAGGTAGTAGTTACAACTTACTATTATCATTTACAATATAATTAATATCAAATATAATGATTCATCAGAATACACTAATTAAGCTAAGAGATGATTCATCAGAATACATTGTTGAAAAATAATAATAGGAATATAGCAAATTAAGATATATATTAATTAATGATTATTGACTAAATAATGCATATTAATCTAACAAAAGAAAAGAAAGTTATGAAAAGAATGTTTAAAAAAAAAAAGATATGACATTAGAATATATAAAATGTATTTATTAAAAACATAATTAAAAATATTTTCACATCTTTCATTAGATACATGCAGTTCTTATGGTGGAAAAAGAGATTGACTTACCTTACCAAAGAAACGACCTTTAAGATAACTTTTACCATTACTAGAATCGTGTATAACATCGGGGATAATGCACTCCTTTTCGTCTTTTGACATTTTTATGCTTTTTCAGATATTTTATGTCGATAACAATATATTACGAAAATAAATGTCTTAATGTTAAAGACGCTATTACATACGTTACAGTCTATAGGAGAAGCTATACTTCCTGGCACGAAATACCTTCCTAGAAAATTTAAACCGCTGTTTTCGTATAGCGGAAGGCAAGCAACGGATTCTAATGTTTAAATCAAAAGATATATGACCAATCGCGTTAAGCTTACTTGTCATGTGACTTAACCCGAAACCAAACAAAATCGAATAAAGGGGATTTACAGAGTATTTTTCCAAAGTAATTAGTGGTGCTACCTGTCGTCCAAAAGGATATACTACGCACTTTATATTTGTACGATGTGTGTATATATATATATGTATATGCATATACATCATGGTTTACACTAAACATTTAGATAGAAATTAATAACAATTATGCTTTTGTTATATTGTAATAATTTGTTATTAAAAAATGAAATAATTTACATCTATTACGATAACTCTTCGTGAGTTTCAAATGAAGAATTATTTCTATGAATTTAAAGAAAGAACCAATCTGGACATACCTAGGAGTCGAGAGTAGTATAATTATAGTACTCTTATCTATACTTATAATTACATAATAAAAAGTATAATATAATCATTAAGTTTATATCTTAACATATATTTATTAATGGATAAAAAATATAGGAAATGGGATATAAAAAATGATTAAATAATAATTATTATTAAATGACGTTAATGAAAATGCTGCATGTATCTTGTATATCCGGCAAAATTGAAACGCCAATTTGACTGGTATGTGTGGTCGATGAATCTTTTTCCGGCAGCCGGCGTCCATTTTCCTCTCTGCTTGTCTGTAGTTGGCGCGTTTCTTATTTATGAAAGCTTTGATATTAAATTAATATAAAAAGAGTAAGTATTTTAATAATAAAATTTATAGCAATTGCATGATTAAATCGGTTAATAATTTATATCGATATTTATTTATTATCGATTAGTGATGAAGTAATGAATACTCAATGTTTTATTGGTTTCGTGTCTTTTTGAATGGCGTCTGTATTGTAATTATTTTCTCTTAAAATTTTTTAACCCAAAATTTCAATTATTATTTTAGTTATTAAAATATAATGGAAGGTGCTCCAAGTGGCAGGGGCGGATTTAAGGGTCGTGGAGGTCCTGGTGGTCCGATGAGAGGACGTGGTGGTTTTGGAGATAGAGGAAGGTAAATTTTAACTTTAATTAAATTCTTGCATTTAACAAACCTAAACTATACTTGTAAGAATCAATGAAAATTCCTTAACTTGCATGTACATTTTTGTTAATTTTTGTATTTTTATACTAGGGGTGGTCCTCCAAGAGGAGGTAGTATGATGCGAGGAGGTCGTGGTAGTGGACCTGGTGGTGGAATGAGATGCGGTCCACCTGGTATCAGAGGTAGAGGAGGTCCTCCTGGTAGAGGTGGACGTGGTCATTTTCCAGGGTAATTTCAATCAAAATTTCTCTGTTAAAATAATATAAATATAGAATATTTAATAGTTAACGTACCATGTATATGACTAGTGAATTGATCGGTTTTAAATTTTGAATTAAATTTCTACGTTCAATATTAACTGTTTGAGTGCCAAGTGTGCTCATTGTTTTACTAAGGTAATTAATGTGAGATATTGTTTTTAGTGGTCCTCCAGAACCAGGAATGGCTGGTGGTCCCGGTGGTGGACCTCCACCTCCAGGTTTAGGTGGTCCTCCAAGAGGAGGAAGCAGAGGAGGAGGAAGCAGCGGTTTCCGTGGTAGAGGTAGAGGAGATTTTGGTAGAGGAGACAGTCGTACTCCAAATAGTAGTTTCCGTGGACGTGGTGGTATGGACAGAGGAAGTCGTGGTAGTTCAAGGTAAATTATAATGATTTTTTATTATTATATATTCTATAATTCTTATTGTTAATATTAGTATAATTTTTAACAGAGTTGGTTCGAGTAGAGGTGGTCCGGGTGGAAGAGGAAGTTTTGGAGATCGTTCTAGTAGGGGAGGCAGGGGTGCACCAACAAAAAGAGGTGGTGGCCCACCAGGTGCAAGTGGTCCTTCAAAGAGACCAAGATTTGATCAACCATCCTCACAACCATCTAATGGCTATGCAACCCAAGCTCCAAAGTAAGAATTTATGGTTTTTAAGAAATATCAAATATTATAAAATATAATTAATAAATAACATGAGTTTATTATTTATGATATAGTCAAGGCGGATATGGTGCTGCTGGAAATGCCTATGGTGGTGGCCAACAACAAGCACCGCAACAGCAACCAGTAGGATATGGTGGAGGTTATGGATCTCAACAGGGTTATGCACAGTCATATCAAGGATATGAAAGCTATCAACAGCCACCTGATTATGCACAAGCTGCGGTAATAAATATGTTTTTATTTAGAATATTATCATAAATATGCAATAATGAAAATATAAACATTATGTGTTTTAATTATACACAGGGTTATCCTCCATCTGCACCACCTGATAATAGGTACGGAGGAGCTCCTGCTGTTCCAGCAACTGGAGCTTTTAATACTGGTGATCCTTATAGTTATGGCAAAGCTCCACCCTCAGGTTAATATGAATATGCTTTTCTATGTACATATATGTACTATTTTTATAGTTAATCAATTTCTGTATTATTTATGAATCTCATATGTCGCATGAAAGTTTCTTTTAATTTATTAATTTTGAAAATTAATCCTAAGACTTTTGTATACTGATTAAGATACAGTCGCTTTTAATTGTATATTAATATTAAACAATGTCTGCACAGCTAGTTACCAGCAGGAGGCAGTAGCAGCTGCAGTGGCAGGAGGTGGGGGTCCAGGTTATGCTCCTGCTAACCCATATGATGACAGATCTTCTAATGCTACCACCATGATCAACCGGGGTGGTTATTCAACACAACCTTATGGTTAGTTGTTTTGTTTAATTATAATATTATTTTTTTATATTTTTTTTTAATACATTGAATGTGCCAGTTCTCATATTGTTTATCTACAACAAAACAGATACTTTAATTTAGAATTGTTATAATAGTTTTTGCATACAAACGTTGTAAGCGTATTCTATGCTCAAAAATAAGAAAAAATGTTATATAAACATAGGTCATTTACAGCTTTATTCGAAAGTTATAACATATATTATACAACTACTTAAATGTGCTATTCAAAATGTTCCCACCTACACGAATACAAGTTTGACACCACTGTAGTATGGTGTTTATGGCATGGCGAATTTCTTGTTAATTTCTGCAACTGCATTCCTAATTCGTTCTACCATAACATCTAGTGTATGATACACAATAAAAATCTTTACAAGATTTAAATTTATATTTTGTGTGTTTACAGATTATCCAAATCAGGATGGAGTGTACGGCAAACAGGATTATGGTAAGTACTAGTTAAATTGTAAAAACGTCGTATTTTAGAGAAAAAAAGAATTATAGTCTACAAGATTCAATTATTTTATTACAAAATAGATAGAAACTTAGACTAAAAATGAATAGGAATAGGAACATTGCGAAATTTATATTAGAAAAAAAATACTTTAAAAGGTATAAGATATTAATTATGGAAAGAATGTATAATGAATTAATTGATATTCATGGAGATTTGAATAAATATACGAAAGCAATATATAACTACTTAGCTAATCATTTTTCTTAAAGCAATAAAAGACCATAGAAATTTTAGTAAATTTCATAAATCTGATTAATAATCAATGATAGAAAAGTTGCATACAATTTGATGAAGTAGTAATGCGTATGTATATTTTCTTTTATTAATCAATTATGATAATAAAAGTGCTAAGCATGAGAACATCAGGCAAATCAAATAGAAATGATTTAATATAAATTAGGTGCCAATTGGTAGATCCTTAGTTATTAGAGAAGATATTGCATATTAAGTCATAATAATAAAAGACATTGTTTCTTCAAATTAATATTATATTAACAAATATTTCCTAATATGGTAAAATAACAAAGAATTATTGCGCATGCACAGAGAATATAAATGATAAATTAAGATATCTTATTTAGGACTAAAAGATGATGAACAAATAATAGAAAAATTAATCGCTGATACATTCTTTAGTAGTATATACTGCTTCTTATGGTATACATAAATAAATATAGGCTTATTATTCATTTATTTGGTGTGTATATATATATATATATATATATACATATACATATAACGATAAAAATATTAAATATTGAATCAAATCTAAAGTTATACTTTCAAAGTGATTGAATGGAAGAGCTATGGTTGTTTGCAGGTGGCAGTGCTGGTTACCAAAACGCGCAGTCTCAGCGACGATATTAAATATTATATATACTATTTAATTATAACCGTCAAATTCATTTTGCAAATTGAAACTATGTTTAACATATGAATTAGTTGAATATCGATGATTTATTAATTGGAAGTATACTAGCATGAAATTTGACAGCAGTAAAGTGGATATATTTTATAGGTATAAGAATCTTATCTGCGTTAAAATGATGGAAAGCATTTCAAAATAAATGTTTTTTCTAATGGAAATGATAAAAATGCGCAAGTTAAACAAAAAGTTGTTCAATTATATGATCTAAAAGTTGAAATGACAAAAGCGTTTTATACTTGACTAGCAGTATATAGTATCTACTATGTCACGTTTCGCTTATACAATTTTATAGGATTAAGTTTAGTTGCTGTACAGTCTTCTTCACTCACTTTGCGTATTGTAAAATAAAATCAGTTGATAAATTCATTGTAACTGTAAGGAGAATGACGTCAAGTTTCCTTTTTTTGCGATAGATTAATTTTTTCTATTTTAAAAATATACATTTCAATACACAAATTAAAATTTAGAAACAGAACGTTTAATTCATGTTATGTGTAAATCTATAATTCTCATAGTGTATTCTTTTCTTTTATTTCGAATAATTGAAATAACCATAATTTTTATTAGTCCATTATAATTAATTGATAATAAATGCGATTCTTTTTAATTATGGAGTGTCTTAACAATTAAAGAAAAATATAAATAAATAAATAAAATGTTTAAATTTTATGTACGAATTTTAGGTTGATACATCTTGATTTTGATTAATGATCTTAATGAATTTGTAAGAACTTATTAATCTCTATTAAAAATGATTAGAAGAAAACA